CTGCTAGAAACTAGAACGACGCGTATCGGACGCAAAGCTACACGCGCGCACCGCGGAGATAACAAAATAAAGCATGAGTCGTTGGCAAAATTGCACAGAGATAACACGGTAAAAAAAGAAAAAAAAGTGATAAAAATCGCAATACCGCGAAGCTGCGTGTACGGACGCAGACGAGAGACGCATTAAACGCGAAGTAGCCGAGTAACAAACGTCCCGAATCGGACGACCTAAAGCTGCGGTACGCTCAACATCTTGCCCGCATCCCCCTTGCAGATCCTGTTATGCCGCGAGAGCGTCATGTATATCCTCAGGCGCAGGTACAATTTGAGCAGGAGGCCGACCGGGAATTCCGGACAGGGTGGCTTGTACTCGACCCGCTGCGCGAGCTGCAGTATACGCGCGCCGAGGCTCTCCTCGGCGGCGAGTTCTTCGAAGTTCCCCACGAACACGTCCTCGAGGCCGGAAACGTAAGCGGTGAAGGAGTCCGGCGCGCCTTTGGGCGAGGATTCTCTCCTCGCCTCCTTCACATAGGCCGCGCACACGTCGCAGCTGTGCGCGCGCGAGCACTCGTCGAGCAGGTACTCGCAGGCGCGTTTGAACGCCGCTTTCTCAGGTTGCGGATTGATGTCGCGATAATTGGTCGCGGTGACGTGCAGAGCGGCCGCCTGCTGGCCGGTCCGAGAGGAAGACGACAGCGTGGACGCCGACGAGGCCGCTATCCGCTTGAGCATCCTGCGCGTCTTCCCGACGGAGTCCTCGCCGCACGAGTGCTCGAGCAGGTGTTTGCTCACGAGATTCTTGAACGCGCGAGTAAACAGAATGGGCGTGGGCAGGGCGCGATTTCCACTCTGCCGTCTAATGGAGCGGAAAATGCGCTCGACGCACTCCTGGCTGAGTCGTCTCGTGCGGAGAAAGGGAAGCTGGTGCTCCCGCAGCACGCTCCACAGTTGCACAACGGCGTTGATCGTGACCTGCCAACGGTCGAAGCAGCCGGTCGACTTCGCGCCCGTCCGCTCGCTCATCACTCGGATCGACTTGAGGAAATCGAGCGTTCGCTGGAGGAAGCACATCTCGTGGGCGCTGCCGGTGAACGCTTGGCTGAAGTCCTTGCCGTTGGAGGACTTGGCGGCGGCGCAGGAGTTGAGGATGTCGAACAGTTGGTCGAAGTTGCGCACGAATTCCACCGTGCCGACCGCCTTAAGCGGGAACCGGCCGGACATGGTGTACACGCTCAGTCCTGCGGCTAGCGTGCTGCTGAACACCTGAACGGCGTATTTCGTCTCCGTTTTCTGGTATTTGTTGGGCTCCAGGTGGGCCACGGATAGTTTGGGGACCAGCGGCAGTCGCATCTGGCTGTCGCTCCTGAAGAACAGCTCGATGTCCATCCACGACGCCCTCTTCTCTCGGAAGTGGAGGTCGTGCTTCATGAGGATGTTCCTCGTCGCCCTTATCAAACGGCCGGCGTCGAACACGTAGAACACCCTCTCGCCGTCCACCAGGAACGACGGGTGCTCCGCGAAGATGCCCAGCTGCCGCGAGAGCCGCAGGAAAACCGGCGCCGTGCCGGTGACCAAGACGTGCACGGTCACGCCGATGGACCTCAGCTTGGTAATCGCGAGGAATATCAGGTCCTTCATGGCCTTGACAGTGCACGTGTTCTCGTAAAAGTGGTAAGCGATCGGCTGCTCCCAATCGCCGGCCAGGCTGCGCGCTATCATCACCAGAGCCTTCCTCGCGGGCGTCCGTCGCTTCTCCGTGCCGTCGAAACCAACGATTCTGTCGCGTGACAGGTTGTAGAAGAGATGCGGCCGCAGCCGCATCTCGCTCACACAGAGGCAGCAGCGTCTCTCCGTCGCCGGCAACGAATTCATCTTCAGGCGCAACGCATCCAACACGTTGTCGCTTACACCAGCCGGCACGTCCCAGTTGCGGATGTGCGCCCACAACTGGCGCACGGTGGGCAGCAGACACAGCGGCCGGTAGAATCGGTACGCTCCTGGAGCCATGAGGAACAACTTGAGCGCGAACTGCTTGCCCTCGAAGCTCTGCCGCATCGCCCTGCCTCTCTCGCGAGCGTCCACGCACGCGGAGGCCAGCAGGGCGGAATTTCGCGGCAACAGATCCGCGCACGCCGCTTTGAATCTGCTCGCGTTCACGAGATGGTCCTCGTTCTCCGTGCGCGACATCTCTTTCTTCCGCTTCGCGGCCGGGACATCTGCATGTATTTCGGGTCCCTCCATTCGTCTCTTCTCGATCGAGGAGTCGTTCGTCTGCGTCGAAACATGCCAACGTGCTCTCGTCGATGTTCTGCAACACGTGGTGCTGATTAAGTTGTCTCATCTCTATTTACTTCGGGGAGCATTTGCTGTAACGGTTCCTCTTACTTGATTTCACTCTCCGTCGTCGTAAGAACCGGTGTCTTTCCCGGTGTAGTCGACGACGAAAATCCCTCAAACGCGTATCTGTTTAAAAAAAAAAAAAAAAAAAAAACGCATTTCTTGGCGACCGAGAACCATGTGAGACTTTGACTTGACATTGACTTTTGTGAATTCGGACTTACCCATCATTGTAATCATCCTTCACAATTATACAAGATGACGATGTTGGGTCTGTATATATGTCCGTGATAGCACGCGTCTCCATCGCAGAGCAGCTGGAGGTGCTTCTACCAACAGAAATTATCCTCAGTATCAGTTTTATAGGAATTTCTTATAAGCAAGTAAAAATCACGCGAAAGGAAGCGACATCTTTTATTAACAAGTGCATGCTAATTGAGAATGTTACATGTTTCGAACTCACCCATTATTGTTTTCTGACTTCATTTCGATCGATGGGGCCAGAGAGATTGGCATATTTCTGGCGGAGATTGAATATATTATTTAATATTTATAATATTACTAAACACACGTTGAAATCAACAGAAGAAACAAAAAAGATTAAAAATTACCTATCCTCACAGATTTGCTTTATAGATGCTTTCGGAAAAAGTGCTTGTAATGATGAAATTATAGGTGTATCTCTGTTAAGAAATTACGGTTACTTAATTAATGTTCAAACTATCAATAAAATTATATGTACAAAAGAGAGAGAGAGAGCTCACTTTTCATCAGATGCTGATGACTGGGAAATCTCCAACTGGTTTGTCACTCCTGATATATCTCTGATCAAGCTTTGGAGAGAAAGTCATATTTAGTAACTGTTCCAGGAGTTTTATAAGTTGTTTTTGTTCAAAAGAAAGTAAAAAGTTTTAAACAAAAATTGTGAAAACTCACCTATTCCTGCTTTCAGGTTTCAGAAATATAGTGACAAATGAAATTGGTTGTGCTAGTTTTGTATTACTGCCATAAATATATATTATTTAGTCTTTATACATTTATTAATTTTTAAATCTTATAACGTTTTACTCAGGTATTATTTAATTATACAGCAAGTAAATAAACTTAAAAATATTTACTTACTTTCCTGTCGTTATTGGTTTTAAGAATATTGTTGGAACAGCTTCCCTGTTTAAATAAATTCTTCCCTCTATGTTTCGAAACATTTCTACTCGAAAATGTAAATGGCATAGTCGATAGTACCGATTAGCATATTCTGGACCTATCATAACTAAGTCCATTCTATTGCAAGCTTTAATCCATTCCATCCATCTGAACATTATAAAGTACAAATTGAATAGAAATCATATAAAATTTGAGGACATATGTATATATACACAAATATAGTAGTACAAGAACATATTATTGATACTTCAGATAAAAGATTTACATTGTTTATTAATATGTTAATCTTGCATGAAGAAAGCAATCAGACAAATAAATGCGCATACCTTTTCCTTTCTTTAGGAAACTTAAAGAAATGTCGTCTTGCTATTTTAATATTCATCATACAACCTGGTGCAGAGCACCATCGAGTAGATGTTTCACTAACTAGATGCTCACTCATTTTTGGGAAAAATTATACCAACTATAATAAAATAATATATTATTTGTTTCTAAGACTTACAATATAATGAGATATTATAACATATTAAGAGCTTACGAAAAAAAAATATAGTTAACAATCTGACAATTTTTTACAAACTTCTAATATATGACATATAGTCATGTAATGATGCAGAAAAAGTTAGTGTAATATTTATGAATTGTTCACAAATTATTTGCTTATAGATAATATTATGAATGCAAAAATTTTATATTAATTTTATGTTACTGCTTAAATATATGGACACAACCTTTTCTTTATATATAAAGCTTTTTGTAGCAGATAAATATTGAATTGAACATAAAGATTTGCAGTATTCCCATTTATAATTAACATAAACAATAGTACATGAAATAAACCTTTGAGAATTGTTATTTAATACTCACTTATTATATCCTAGAGCAAATTACAACTTTTCATGTATACAGATTCCTGCAAACTTTTATCCTTGTAGGAAACATAAATTCGTACAAAACTTTCGATTCATACAAAACATTGATCCTTCCGAAGAGCATAAACTATTTTCTCTTCAACAGATGGATTTATGTTCGCGCATATTTCTCTTGGGATGCAACTTTTCCAAGATAAACGAGAAACGGTAAAACAATGTGCTCATTTGAACTGCCACAAGACCAAACAGAATTGTGAAAATCCAATACGCATGTCTAATATCAAATGGGCCAATAGTTGATAAAACACGTGACTAACTGTATTTACGTTAATTACGCGGTAAATTTTAAATTGGTCAACTGAAGTATTTGCATTGAAACGTTATTGAATTTTTGCAGATATGCAGAGAAAATTTTTATATAAAAAAAAGCTTCAAGTCTGTTATAAAAAAATGTATTACCAAAATTAAGGGAAAAATTAAGAACAAGAAATATTATAGAAAATACTATATATAAATCTATAATTTTATCATGCTTAAAATTCTCATTTCTTTCTCGACGTATATATTAAAAAATATTCTAGTCTTATATTTTTGTGTTATATAAATTAAGTACAACTTTCTACAGAAGCACATTTTTATTCACACACACGCACGCACGAACGTACGCACGCACGCACACGTTTACATATGTATAGTAGAACAGATATAGAATATTAAGTACGATTATTATTACACAATAAGTTTTATGTATATGAAGCTGTATTTAACATTATATTTCAAATCAGATGATTATATGTACTTATCTATATAAGTTATATATAATATATAATGTAATTACAAATTACTATATATATACACTTCTTAAAAATTATCAATAAATCAAAATCAAATAGTTTACATGAAATCCGTGCTGTGTATTGTTTTACTCAAAAATATACCGAACTTTAATACCGCGTCTATGGCAGGTTCAATTATTAATTCATCTTCGGCAGCCCAAGAAGAGGTATCCGCGTCTGAAAAAAAGAAGAAAGATGTAGTATGAAAGAAAGTACGAGAAACATACCTATTTATGTAATATAATTGAGAGAGATTTCGGTAAAATAGAATAAATTATATCAATGTTAGTAATAATAGTTACGTACTCAGATTGCTGATTTTAAGCACTGATGGCTGGGAGAATAGGGTAACGCGACTTTTCTTCAAAAGTTTGCTCTTTAAGCAGCCCAACTTGATCAGCATCTGCAAAAAAATATTTTTCCATTTAAACATGCTTCCGGTGGTAGTCAATAATGTCAAGAGGAACGTGAGACAGGTTGTGTACTTTTTAATGCGATAACGCAATAAACAATACAAAAGTTCATGCGAAATTGAAAAGTTCAGCATATCTTAATTGTATGTATAATATCGATAACAAACCTCGGCCAATTCGCGCGTATGGAAGGGCTGCAGAGCAGGTATGAATCGATTTTGCACCTTCGCCAGGGTGAGTCCGGGGTGAAGCAAACAGTAACCCAGAACCGCCCCTAGCATCTGGTCCAGTACTTTACGGTTCAAAATGCCGTCAATGCGAATCCACGGTCTTATCACAACTTTTATTTCCTCGGCCGTTCTGCAAAACAGATTTATGTCGTTACTATATATTTTACAGCATCACAAGATTTCTCTTACCACTCCTGTTCGATACGTACAAGTCCGGCTGCTGCGCGGGTTTGTCCTTTTGCGAAAATGAACATGTTCGCTGTCTCTGCGACCTTTTTCTTGTAAGTGTGTCGCATTTCTCGTTGGTTTCGTTATCCTCCTTTTTCTCGTTTCCCAGTTTATTCGGATCATCACCCGCTTTTTCTCCATCTTGATTAACTTTCCTTTCAGCTTTTCCATTGTCCATTGATGATGTCGACGGTGTCGCATGTATCATATCAACTGCAATGTTTATCCGAATGAATAACAATTCCAAGGAAGCATGTATATATACTATTACAATTGGATGCGATTAGCTTCATAATTCAAGAAATTCAAAACGGTTATATTACGTTTTTTATTTGCGTGCTCCTCGCTGTGTTTCGCATCGACATTTGCGTTGGCTGCCTTCCCCTGCGGCATCGTAGCGTACACGCTATCCTTGAAAGGCCCCATAGCCTCTTGTTCCAGTCGATGTATCTTGCACGAGTGAATCAGCCAAGGATCCACATGATGATGGTGAATGTAGCGCGGACTAATCACACCAGAGCGCAAAAATATGCGATTTTTCACTAAAAGTGAAACGATGGCATACAGGTCTGTGCCGTGCTCGTTGAAAAACTTGTCCTGCATGGGAGAGAAGTGATCAGGTTGGTGAAAGATCTCTCAGAAGAATAGGTTGCGTCGTTATACATGACACGAGACAATTCTTACAAATCTGTCCAATTCTACCGGAAAAGGATAAAGAGAAAAAGAAATAATCGGCTCCATGGAGAATGACTTACCATCAAGTCCTGCGGACGCGCGCCGAGTTCCTTCCGCTCCCGGACGAACTTGCACACTGCGTCGACGTGTTTCCAGTCGACCGTTATTTTCGCCTTCTTCGTTATCGTATTGTTCTTGTAATCCGCGTAGGAAATGACACTTTTCGGGAAAATCGCGAACTCGTTCACCTCATCAAGCACTTTGTTTATGGTGTCGATCTTCAACGGTACCAGCTGATTAGAGACCCAGTGACCTTTGAAATTCTCGACTTGGTCACTCGACCTTGCCGCCGACGGTGAGAGCTCCAAGCTGTAGAACATCTTGAAGGCGTTAACTACGAAGTATTCGTGCGCGTGATGGCTGTCGGTCACCTTGAGGTCATTCAACTCAGCTCGCATCCTCAGCATGGCTATTCTAGTGTACTTCCTTTGAATGTCGTTCGTGTACTCGATCTTGCAGTAAGAACTCAGATAATTCGTCTCAAGCGGCATGTTTCCGATGATCTCGCTGACGCGTCGAGGAATCGTAGTCAGGCTCGCGGAGCTGTTCAGTTGGTTCGAGAAAGCTGAAAATTGTAATGACACATTGACATTTTTGTGCTTTGGCACAGTTAAGGTAATTGGTGGTTCGTCAAATCATTTTTTAGGAATCCTTCTAAATTTTTAATGCGTATTGCTGGAAATACTATCTACACGTTTCTATAAAGTTAGAAAACGATTGACCATATGGAAACTGAGATAGTCGTAACTGAAAATTACACTTTTTAAACGCGTTTGTGTCCTACTTTCAACTTCTATTTTTAATTTTTTTTAAATCATATTTAGGTTAAAAAAAAATTAATATGATATTAACGTTGAGACGTTGTACAAGACGTTGTTCAGAATTTTTACCATTTTGAAGATGTTAGCCATAAGAAATCTACAACTTATACAATTACCTTAACATAGAGATTGAATCGGAAAATGCACACGTAACATACCGTCTTCCTTCATTCGTTTCTCTGTTAATCCTTTCATCTGCAAGGACTTGCCAATGATCTTCATCTTCTTCTTGTTCTTCAGATTCTCCTCGTATAAATTGAACTCCTCGAGTTCTTCCACGTCCGACAAGTCCATTGAATCGTCGGAATTCAATCTTGATCTTTTCAAAAATGATTTCTCGCAGTCGGCGGAGTCCTCCTCTGTATCGATGGATCTCTTCCTTGATGAGCATTCGGCACGATCTTTCTCCGGAGACGCCTGAACGTTGGAACAGCCCTTCGAAATGATCTTTTCAATGTCAACGATCTTCAACATCTTCTTCTCCGCTGCAACTTCGTTCTGCCGATTCTTCGCAGATCTTTTCATCCGATTTCTTTCGACGCATTTATTCCCACGACGAATCTTTGAGGCCGGTTCCTCGAGATCGTCGCTCTTGTCGGCTGGTCTCTTCCTCGTTGAGGGGTCTCCCCACTCTGCATTCGTTTCCGCTTCGTCGGCAGATAGGGCGTTTTGAGCGTCGGCGTTTTCGAACTTGAAGCGATAGAGCCTCGTCAGAATGTCCTGGTACCTCTGCGCGACCCTGAAGTGAGTCTCGTCCTTGTCCTGGTACCGGGAGTCCAACATAATGATCTGCTCCGGCATCTCGATGTCGAAGTCGATCTGATTGCGTGGCAGGAGGTCGTGCATGATCATGACTATGCCACTGGAAACCGGCTGGATTTCGATGCCGTTGAAGACGTCTCGCCGGTCCGGGAGGACGACGTTCCTCTGCTCCGTGTAGTACTGCAGCAACTTCATGAAAACGTCGTAGGTACTGCTGAATACATCTTGGGGCCACTTGGTTTGCAGCTTGAACTCGTAATTGGCGCTCAACTTGTACTGCGCGCTGCTCATCGGCACGTAATTGCCGCTTTTTTTAATAGCGGACAGGTGATTCTTCTTCACGGTCACCATTTGATCCGTCCTGATCTTGATCATCGCTTGCCTCAAAAGTGCCTCCGGATAATGCTGGTATATCTTTCAAGGGAAGAACAGCGCTTAATTAAATTGATTAAATATTTCGAACGCATGTTAATGAAAGGCATATAATTGGAAATATATAATCAATCCTTTAATATAAAGATAAATAATTATGAAGTTTTATTTAATTAACCATACATATTTGAAATCATATGTATATATACATATGTACACATTTAAACACTTATATATCTTTTTCTATTATCCGTGCGTCTCTATTAGATCAAGTAATGCATAAAAATAGCATTAATAAGAAAAATCATATTTTTATATTTGTAATATTATGTCTGTGTTTATACTTCAGCTTCGTTTCAAATTAACGTATAATCAAATTAACATTTATGAATTAGACGGTAAAATAAATGTATAGAAACGTAACGTTCGCTTGATAGGTATTAAATTTATGAGTGGCCCTTCTCGCACGTACCTTGAAGAGCTCATACGCCCAGGAACGTTTGCTCTTCGCGCAGCACATGGAGCTGTGTATGACGGAATTGATAGTCGCCGAGTGGATGTCGTTGGCGTTACGCACGTCCTTCCTGAAGCCCTGACTATGGTACGGCTTCGCCGGGTAGATCGTCTTGAAGAAGAAATTGAACTCCTGCGCGGTCTTCGGCATCGCCTTGTGCTTGTTGGGCCTTATCTCCGCAATGTTGTAATAATTCTTCATGATGAAGGCGACGAGCTCCTTGAACACCTCCGTCACCCGCTTCTCGTATTCCGCCGAGCTCGAGCACTCGCTCTTCAGCCTGTCCATGATGCCGTTGTAGCGCTGGTCGATGAACAGGTCCTGCTTGATCTCCTCGACGCCCAAGGCCAGGCTGTTTATCGTGCACTGCTGCCGTTGCATGTACATCAGCCGGCGCTGGCAGGCGCGCGAGGTCTTGTTGTACGACGTGTAGGAGTACTTGTGAAGCACGTCTCTCACCGCCGTGAAGTTGACCACCTGCTTTCGCGGATTGGGCGAAAGGTAGGTCATCGCTACTTTGCACACCAGCAGAATATTGACCTCGTGCGGCTCCCAGTCGGCTCGTAACTTGTGCATCCTCTGCATCGCCCGGTAGTCGTCCTCGTCGTACTTGAGACGCGGCCCTTTGGTCCGCTTGCGCGGCATCACCCGCCGCACGAAGGATTTCTGCTTGCTGGTCTGATGCGACGGCAAGGCCTCGTTCTTGCGGCCGGCCTCGCCCGGCTTACTGAAGTGGTTGTGCACCTGCCGTCGCAGCTCGGCGCCGCTGATAGCGGGCGCTGGCGGCCCGGAGACCTTCTTCAGGCCGACGTACTCCGTGTACTTGACCGGCTTCATTTGAATCTTCGACAGATGCAGGTCCCGCTGACCCGTGCCGGATTTCCCGGACTTCTTCGAGCCCTCGTAGCCCTTCGGAGACTTCTGGTTCGCGGAATAGTTGCTCGTCCAGTTCCAGTTGCGTTTGAGATGCGCGAAGAAAGCGGAGTCGATACCAGCCGCCCCGCGACGGTCCCCGGGAACCACGCCGGTGTCCATGCCCGCGGCTTCCTTCGGATTGCGCGCCACGATCGCCGTTGTCAAGATGCTCTTCTTATCCAGGTCCTCGACTAAGATGTCCTTGCCGTGCACAACCAGTCTACCTCCCAGCGGAGTGTTAACGCAGATAGCCCACATGTCGTGCCAGTACTTTTCAACAGAGTGTAGGCGGTCGAAGAAGTACTTGGTCACCGGGTACTCCTTGTCCTCGATATTGTGGTAGCTCGCCGCCGAGGAGACCGTGTCCATGAGCTCCGTGCGCCGGTTCACGTAGATGAATACCTGATCCTTGTCCTTGAGTCGTTGCGGGCCGAACTGCACCAGACCGATGTAGCCCAACTTGGACATGGTGCCGTGAATGTTGTATATGTACTTCCGCCCGTGCAGAAGAGCGTCTCGGATTTCAGACTGGAAACGATAAGGAATTAACTTTCGATCAGGGCATCTCACGGGGGACGACAGAATTCGAAAATTAACCATTAAAGGTTCGTGGCGTCACTTGAAGAGATAGTAATTGCCGTATTTTCAGTGGCGCATCAAAGGAGCCTCTCATACATTTACTATTTATCGAGCAAAATTTCTTTCCTATACATTTATCTCTTTCTATAACCAAGTAATAAATGTGAATTTGAAATGAAGCTAATATATATATATGTGCAATATTATAAATACGAAAATATTATTTTTTCTTTTTATTTTATTAATGGTATATTCATGCATCAGCTGATCTAATAGAGATGCACAGATAATAGAAAGAAGCATATAAGTGTTTAAATAAAAAAGTCTCAGACTCACCGGGAGATTCTTGACGAGGTAATGCCTCCTGATCGGATGGTTCAAGTAATGCTCCAACTCCGGTATCACATACTTGATGTTATGCACCTTAACAAAGATCGAGAGTGGCAGACCCATAAGAACGTCGCACATTAGCGCCCAACCCTCGGGCCAACCGCCATGTTTAGGCAACGGTGGGACGAACATCTTCCATCCCACTTCGGTGGTGTAAATGGTGCTGAACTCCTGAGCAAGATCGTCGTCGATTTCGTAGTCGTTGGCCCGCAGGATCTCGATCTGCTCTTGCTGAGACACCGCCGGCACGCCGACGTGATCGTAGACCAGGTAGAAGAACAAGATGTGCATCGTCTTCATCTTGACAAACTTCGGGCAGAGGCCGTAGCGTTTGCCGGCTGTTGGATCGTACTCGTAGTTCACAGTAATAACCGACGACTTGCTGAGCTCCTGCGATCGCTCCTTGGACCCCGCTTTCCTCGACATCCTCGACTTCTGGGACCCCATCAGGCAAAACTTCAACTTCGCCTGTTCGACGGCCGACTTGATCACGGTGTGATCGGTATCAATGTTCGGGTCGCAGATGAAGGTCAGGTTCTTCTCGCGGCCGTTAGCGCTCAGAGTCAGCTTGATGTTCTTCACCAGGTTATCCTTGGCGAGCTTCTGCAACAGCCTGATGAGAGACTTCTTGTCGATCTTCACATCGTAACCCTCCTTGTCCTCCTCTTCGCAGATCATCTTCATGAGTTTCGTCATGTCGTCGATCACTTGGTGCTCCTTTACCGCTTCGATGATCATGTTGGCTCGGCGTAGCAATCTGAACACGAGGCAATTTTTATGCCAATTAAAAAAAGAAATATATATATATATATATATTTCAAATATATACAAACCTATACGTAATATTGGACATATTCTTCTTTTCTCTGTTCCGCACGACATCCATAAAACTGTATACTTCATTAACTCCACTCTCGGTGCGAACAGGCTTCTGCATTGTCAGATTCGTCTTGATACTATTGTACAACGACGTGGCCATGGCATTATTGGCGATTCGTTGCATGGATACAGACCCCCCCTCCTTTGCGACGATTTTGGAATTCATCTGCAGCATCGAGGATTTCGACGTTGTGCACTTGTATCTTGACTGAGCTTTCGTCAATCGATACCTGTGAAGAATTCTATTGACGACATAGAACTTTCTCTTTAATTCTGCGATGTCTGTCACACAATATTCTTGTGCATCTTTATCGGTAATCAACGCGTCATCATCGGTCGGACTGTTGTGGCCGTCCGAGTGGGATTTCTGAACATCTTCCTGCCTCGTATCGGCATCTTCGTCGTTCGGTTGGGAATTCGCTTCTTGTTGGTTCTTTTCGTTCTCGTTGGTCATTGTTTTCGTCAGCTCTTTGATCTTGCGCATTTCCTTGTTGAACTGCTTACTCATCGTGCTGTTCTTCTCGAATTTCTTTGACACGTATTTCGTGAGCCTCTGCCGGCCAATGTCGTTCATATACAGCGCGACAATGCCCACCCTCTGCAAGTTCTTCAGAATTGTCCTGGAGTGTAACTTGTTGAGGCCCATCTTCTTTCCGAGAAGAACTGGATAAATCAAGAAAAATCAAGTCACTGTTTTTCACTTAATCTGCGTTACTTTTAATTCTTACATAAATCCGCAAATCCCGAGACATATCGTGTTGCAAATAAAATCTCCGGCAGCCCGAGAGATTGTAAAATAATTTACTTACGTCGTACAAATCTAGGATAAGTTCGCTAACCTTGAGATATGCCTTCCGATTCGCACGCTTCGACAATACCGTTCGCTTGTTTCAGATATGGGACTAAGTACTTGTGATCGGAGACATCTAGCACGATAACATTATCTTCAACGTCGTCCTTCTCCTCCTTGCCCCACAAGTCATCGATATTGGTGTCCGGATACAACACTTGCACCACCCTGATCTTCTTCTCCTTTGAGGGATCCTGCTTCTGCCGCCACTCGCTGGGCTCCGCATTGGGGTACAAAGTTCTGTACGGCACGCAGATGTCCGTCTTGACGATCTTTTGAAAGAAGGAAGTCCTAAACAGCTTCTTGATCGAATTCTCGATCCCGAGCTTCTTCTTAATCTCATCGTACTCGGCGACGCCGTTCTTCTTCGACCGTAGGATCTCAAGCACCTGTTCCGCTAAATAAGTCACCTTTGGTTTTCTCTCCACGTAGAAGCGCGGCAGGTGCAGCAGGCTACCGTTGCCGCAGTGGCCGGCGCTCTTCTGATGATGAACTTGCTTAGTGATCAGTTTGTGGCTGAGCAGGAATTTCCGGTGATAGAATAAGCTCTTCGGCGCCTCATTGAGCGCGGCCAAACTAAGCTTCCCTTGAGTCACCTCGCCGTGATAGCGAGATCTGCCTACTCTCTCCAGGAAACAATAGCTCATGAGGGTCAGCTCCAACGTCGGACTCACACTGGAATCCATCAAGGCTCTTGTCCTGGCCGACTGAGACGCCACGATCACCAGACTTAATCCGTATTTCTCCGTCACTTCGTCTAGACTCGCATTCTTAATGCTATCTTTGATGTTCTTCCTTGTGTAATATGTCGAACAGGAGCCTTTCACACCAGCCTTGGGATCTTCAATCATGCAATGCGGATAGATGTCCGGCGGAACGTTTGGCTGAAAATAAAAATACAAGTGTAAGAAGAAATTCTTTCGAGAATTTGATAAGAATTGTCCGAGCTAAACGTAAGTCATTGAATTTATCGGAACCATTTATTTTATCAGGCGGTTAGAAGTATCGAGTGACATAAGTATGCCAGAAACAAAATATAACTTGTTTTTCTTCTTTTTTTGTTACTAAAGAATAACATTAATGATACATTAAGTTCTATATCAACCAAACTGATGTAAAGAGACATACAGTTTAAGCTATATCGCGTATGGTGCAGATAGTACAATTTTAAGAAAATAGTTCCTTAAGAATAAATTATGTATATGCAAATATTAATGATATATTTGTGTAACATACTTACTGGTTCAAGTATAATGCCAAGATCAGGATGCACATACTCATAACGGTCAAATATAACAAGTTCCCCCCTCGGTGTTTCTAATTCATAAAACAAAAATTCTTTCAATTTTTTGCATATCAACCATACTTGGTCCATGAAAAGCTTGGAGAGTGGCAATGGATCGTGAAATCTGTTCGCCAACCGTATCCATAATGCTAAAAAAAGGAACACACGATATATGAAACAAAGAACTCCTTTACTGAGATAGCTTGAAATTTAAAATTTCGTGCATTTTATACTTATGTATCTTAACAAAAGGCTAGCCTTCTTTAAACTTTATATAAATATTAATATATTTTCTCATAGAGCAGAAGCGCGGTGTAGCAGACAGCGCACTAGTTTTGTGACGCTAGAGGTCTTGCGGGTTTCGATCCCCAGCAGAACCGAAAACATTTCTATACGTCTCTTCTGGATGGTCTGGCAAGCCACCAGAGAGAGTATATTTGTCCAAAGCACTTCTTGCAAAATATGCCGTTTGAAGCGTTAAAACTGTGAAGGTCCCATATGCCTGTGTATAATCAGCGTACGCAACACAGGCATATGTGTGAGAAGAAAAACAGGCCCACAAGAGGCCTATTATAAAAAGATGTTTTCCCATAAACAACAGCTTTGCTTTTGTCAACAAAACGCTTCATGTTAAGACGATTAACTTTTCTAATGCAAAAATGATTAAGTATTATTACGTTACCTTGTAAAGTAATACCGTCTAATCCTTCTAAGGCAACCTCGTCCACGATCGATTCGACTAAATTAAACGACGGATAAAAGGCCATGCTTGATCATCCGTATAAACACTGGACATTGGTAGAAATAACAATCCGCATGATTTTATTAAAATTTGCAGTATTATAAAAAAGACATTGTCAATACGAAAAGCGTAAGTGCACACGCGTGCGTTTCCCATGCAGCTTCCGCAACCCGAACACGGTGAGATGCGGCGTACAACTAGTCAATTGACTCGCCGCTTCGCGTAAAAGCTAATCGCAGATGGCGTTAGTGTTCATTTTCGTAATGAAATTTACTGAGGTTTCGCGAAATCGTTATGTGGCGGAGCCACGTGTTCGCGTTTCAATGCAGGTCGCGCACCTTCGATCGTCGCATTTCCAATGCATGTAATGCGAACATAATCAAGTTACACCATAATTACATTAGGTCTGTTCGTTTTCGCTGCACTGCTGAACTAATGCAATAAGATGAAGTGAGAAAACATATGCTATACATATAGTTACTATACTATACATAGTTTTTCTTTATATACGTAAAATATCCATCCATCAAGAACACACCGTGAATCAACTCGACGCTTCTGATTAGTCATACGCTCTTTCTAGGGATCTTTCAATCGACAAATCATATTTCACCTAATTTTGTGTTTGTCACAAAAGTATCACCTCAATCAATCAATCAGATTCCGTCACATTTAATTCCCACGCAGCTTATTTGCATCCGCGTTGCTTCGAACTTTTGAGAGAGCGACACTGTCGTTCAATGTTAGAACTTCAATGTGTCACTTCTCGTCGATAAGAGTGGGTAACACGATAAAAACTGATCAATAGTGGGTAAGTTAAATTTCTTGAAGTCGGTAAGTTACCAGGGTCGATAAGTTTCCGAGAATCGGTAAGTTACCAGAGTTGATAAATTCTCGGGTGTCGATAAATTTCCGGAGAGCGGTAAGTTACCAGAGTCGATATGCTTCCTGGGATTGGTACGTTTCCCGGGGCCGGTATGTATCTTTATTGAACATCGCAGAGGCAGAGTGAGGTAAACTTTAAACAAATTGTTACTTTTTACTACCTGATGTTTTATTTGATTTAACATTCATGTAACGTCAGTTCATTTGCAGTATAGCTGAAATTATACAAATAGTATGTACTTGATATAAATACAGGAGAATATTTCTGTGAAATGTTTACTACACACTGTAATCTCACTAAAGGTGATTTTGACTTAACATTACATTACGTAAATTGCAAGCGCATTTGAATGAAATATTATCTTTTTTAGAACATATTAAACTTCTTTGTAATAATGAAAATGATATGATACATGGTATTATAAATTCAGCTGAATTACATTTTATGAAGAAACGTCAAATGTAAAATAAACTTGAAAGAAGTTAATATCTTAAAACAACTTCCTTTTACTACCTACTTGTGTTTTTTCCAATTGTCAACATTGTTTTATTTACTCATAACATTGTCATCAAGAATTGATACAACTAACTAAGCAGCAGACTAGCAGAGACTAAGGTAGAAGATATTATTGAAAATGATCCACTTCTCTCTGGATTACCTTCTAATGTTAGGATAGAGGAGCTCACATCACAGATTGCTGTTGCATAAGGGCAAGCTATAACTTTATTCCAAAATCATAGAGAATTGCCAAAACTTGCAGTAGTGTTAATGTTTGAGATGTTTATAATAATTTATCATTTATATATTGGTCCATTTGAATTGATCAATCGTCCTATTATAATTTTGCTTTCATTCGTAGTTTCTACCACGTGACAAGACAGTTCTTGATCTTGAGAAGGCTATTTTGCGAAAGTTATCGTGTGTATTTTGAAGAGAAAACATCAGGAAGAAAGTAAGTTGGAAACTCATCTGGGAGAAATGTTATGTTTGTTTCGAACATATTTATTGACCGGAGCGAGAAATTATCGCGAATAATCGATGAACAATTATGTTGTAATTATATAATTTTTTAATTAAATTGAGTAATTTTTTAATTACGATTGATTCTTCTTGTACTCTGATTAATTATTATTTATATTTAATCTACAATAGAAGGTATACATTTACGAAATCTTTTATCCTGGCAAGGTAAGGTTGAGGAGATAAATTTTAATTCCGCCGAATTTCTTAATTTCATCGAATTTCTCTCTCGCGAAAAGATAGAAGAAGCATATGAAAAATTGTATGTTATACACTGACGGGTTTATTTAACTCAAACTTTGTAGAAAACACAGATTTCTCGACGTTCTAACATAATGAGATAAGGATGTAAATTATTCACACTTTTAATCCTTGCTTTTGCGCCTCTTCCTCGTACTTGATAGAATATTCACCAGTGGGATCGTATTTCTTCTTAAGTTCCTCCCAGATTTCTGGTTTCTAAAACGAAATGAAAGACCGGTTGAGCAGTCATCTCTCTATAACTATGAAACTCACTTCTTTAAGAGACTATAAAGATTTTCATTCTTCAAGTTTTCTTATCTCTTTTCGTCCTGAATCGCTTCATAGCAAAAAACATGATAAAAGGAAACTGCTGAAATTTTATCGAAAGTATTCGCGCGATAACGACCGTATAAAATATCATGTCATAAGTCATAATGATCGTGATGGAATAAAGGCGAAATTTTGTACTCTAAGGTCTGTAGTTTGAAACGCCGAATCCAGCCCGTATCTCTGTGTGAAAGTCAAACTAGTTTCGCGGCATTTAAACTGGCTCGACGTATTCCCCGAACGTTCCCTCCTCCTACCAACATCAACTCATTACGCGTTCGCGCGTTTAATTAGACTGGTGAAAAGTGACAGGAGTATACCTTGTTGACTAGAAACCGGATGACCTTCTCGCTGCCCCTTCTTTGTTTCTCGCTACACTTGCTACACTCGTTCTTCAACGCATCCGGAAGGTGCTCTGGAATACAGAAAATTATAATTACCAAAAAATTCAGATCAGGGACGTGATCTCCGCACGCGAAATACAGCGAACTTCATATGAGAAATGCGCCCCGAAATTGTTGCATCAGTTGCACAAGCGGTGCAAAATCATAAAGAACTATGGTACGTTTGAATGATATAACATTCGTTGATTCTTTTTTTCTTCCTCAGCCGAGACATCGACTTGCTATTGGAATTTGTCACCGTTAAAATTAGTTCGCAGTTTGTACCGTCATTAACGAAATGACCTTACATCGTGCATCCTTCGACAGGATGAAACGAGGTGGCTATTAATGGTCAAGGCTGATTTCGTGCACGTTGGAAAGCGGGCGGGAAAGATTGTCATTACCATCTCATTTTGTCGTGCAGGTTTAACCACATTATAACGTCGCGCGCAAGACGCGCGGATTCGTATTATATCTTCATCATTATATAGTATTACAAGAAGTTTGCTCTGTTAAAGTAACAATATGAAAACGACGTTAATAGCCTGAGAGGACCGCAACGGCAGGTAATGATTAGTAAAATGTCGAAGGAGAGCTCACCTTTGAGCTCCTTGCCATCGGGCGTGCAGCTTCCTTTATCCAGCAAACAGTTCACATAGTTCTTGAGCAGACGGTCGCTCGCCAAAATCGAGTCTATGTCGACATTGTCGTACTTGGTCGTGTACTTATCTTCTGCCAAGGCGCAGGCAACCACGAGGAGCAACAGAGCGACGACCTGCATCGAGAGTCAGAGAATCTTTTTAATTACAAAGAAATACATGCAAAAGTCTATCGCAATGTCCCAGAACATTTGGTACGCATCGCACGCAGGCTGACATCTTACTAAATATAGTAATCACTAAAAATGTTCGATGATACGTATCGTATCTGAATATTCGTGCATCATGCCTATTGATTATTCGAGGAAACAACAAAAAAATATTTCAAATATTATTCAAATATAGTGGCATGCATGCATAACGTAAAACATCAAATTACATATGAAGAAAGAATCAAGACAACACAACGTCTAAAATCAGGATATAAGACGTCTTTGAGATATCTTATATTTCAGTTTTAGACATTGCATTGTTTGGAAAGCAACATGTGCAATATTATTATTTCGTCAAATAATCGATAGTTATGATATACGAATATACGATATGCATGTGATTAAACATTTCTAGTGGCCTTAGAGTTTCTAGTCAAAAGATGTCAATGCCGATGTGTTAAATTCGAAGCGAGGGGACTTCTCACGTCCTACCTTCCACTCACCAAAGACTGCGGCTAAATAGTTGCGCCAATATATAACGGGTTAATACCGTAGACTTAGTTAGGACGTTAATTAAGACGTTAATTAGCATAAAAAAACCTGCTGTGTGGCATGCGATACCGACTATACTTTAGTGAAAGGTGAAGCACGTAAAACAGCGAGCGAAATGATATCCGAAATGAGCTCGTCTGAAGATATTTAACCCCTTCGATGACGAAGATAAAATCGCGTCAATGGACTTCCGCCACTCACTCATGAATTCGAAGCCTTAAAAGTACACGCTAATAATAGTATGGGATATATAATTTAATTAATTAATTAACACTTTAATATGATTTCATTGACACAATGAAACGAGTCAAATGTAATATGAGCTACTTCGTCGGGCAAAGTGAAAGAAACGAAGAAACTGGTTGTCCTATGACATGAGGAAAGGAGAATTACACCGCGACTTTGTCAACAACTTCGTCAGCGCTATTGCGCAATCGCTTGCATTACGCACGAGTAATACTTCCTAACGCCTTTCACTCTCATGAGGAAATTTCACCTGGCGTCAACCAGAGAGAATCGACGCGCAAGCCGTTCTCAATTCAAAGAGCTCGCACGCCGGTGATAGTGCGACGAAATCGTGCGCGCACATTCAGCACCGGATCAACGCTGGATTTTTCTGACGATGTACGAGTACAATAAACGTTAAATGGCTATAGGAGATCTTTAAAGGATCTCCAAAGGTCGTTAACGACGCGAAACAACCCCGAGATGCACCGAAGGACTCGCGCTGCATTATTCATTTTCAGTCTCTCTGGATCGGATTTTTTAGTCGAACAGAAGGGATAGCAATTGATGTTTGCGCGCGCGATAGAGAGAGAGAGAATGTAGATAAAATATTCGAAGATTCAGATTATAGAAAAAAGACAAAATTCTTGAAATTCAAGTAAGAAGCGAGACACACACGCGTACGATGCATACGTACAGGTATAAAAACCGTTCCTGATATCCGTCTCGTTTTTTCGCAATTCACACGTCCAGCTCATACAACACTTCCCTTCCACTAACACCGTTAATATTTTCGCAAAGATTGACCGGATAGAATTATGTTGACGATTAAGCATGCACCGAAAAGAGTTATTTCTCAAGAATGCACGCGGAAGAAAAATCACAAAAAGGAACAAATATGAAAAGGAGGACGCGCACGAAAGACAAAGACGTTTGATTATGGTAATAAAAAAAAGAAAACAAAAGACAGAGAGAGAGAGAGAGATAAAGGAAGGATTGCGAGGAATAATACGAAGAAAAAATGCGAAGGATGAAAAGAGAGAATATGTAGAAAAAGGATAAAAAGGAGGCAGGAAATAAAGGTGAGCGGAGAAGTGTGCTTACCTTCATATTCGAGCGGAGTTAAGCTACTGATGCTGGCAACGACGCCGATCATCTGTTTTATACTCAGCCCCCGATTGCTCGGGTCGCCGAATTCGCCGAATCATTCTTACTGCGTCTCGCGCTACCTCATTGGCTTCGTGTCCTTGCAATTCCGCTAAAAAGATGAATAGCATCAGCACCGCGTGGATCTTAGAAGTCACTTCACGTGATAGCGAATCACTCGCCTCGTCGTGCAAATATTATCGGCCCACGGAAGTGTTTTTCTAAATCGGCTTAGGTTGGATGTACAATAGATGTAGTAAATTTTTGACTCTTTGCTGCAAGTAATAAATTATAACTGTAACTAAATTGTAATTTCTAACCAAAAAGACTTCCGGCAACGTACTACTAAATATCGAAGTCCCTAAAATTTAAATCCCAAGATTTATTACGACTTTTGGCAGCACGTCAAACGCGCCTTTTATCAGATATTACGTTATATTTTATTATTTAAAGCAAAAAGCTTACTACACCTCTTGTAAATCCGGACTTAGCGGACTGTCTCGCGGTTTCTATAAGCAATTGCTCGATAGGTCGCGATTTTTCGATTCGAACCGATTTGCAGCTGAAAAAATTAGAAAGAAATGACTTGTATGTCACCCTCAGTGTGTGATCTCTCTCTCTCTCTCTCTCTCTCTCGCTCGCTCACTCTCGTCTCTCTTACGTAGCCTTTCGATTCGAAGAATTTATTCGTCGGAGGAATCACAAAATGGCGAATTGACGCATTCGTTATTGCGAGAGTCCAGCACACGTGCAACATTAGAGAGCGAAAGAGAGAGGAGAGAGAGCGAGAGAGAAAGAACGTCGGCGCTTTTGCCGAGTGTATACTCGTTAGCGGAATTCAGCGAGAATTGCAAAAATAATATTTGACCAGTGTTAAGTCAACGGGCATAGTTTGTACCTCGTTAACTTCGCCGCTGGTCACGGAAATTACTGCTTCCGTTTCAGTAGCCGCGCGAAAGCAGACGACTCGCGAAAAAATCAGACTGAGCGAGTTAGCACGTTACGCAAGTTGCATAAGACCTGTACAATGTCCCCCGCGTCAGATCGACGGGTCCTCTCTAAACTTCGCGTTGACCGAATCAATTCGCGACGGGATGCAACCCAATTGCGTAACATTCCGATGAAATTCCGTATTTAACAGGAATTTGCATGACGAAAGCGAGAAAAGGAAAGGAAATGGACTCGAAATAATATCAACTTAAAAACAAATATGTTCATTTGAGACTTTCCCTTGTTAAAAATGCATATCACTTCTCTCGCACGCCACCGCATAATTCGCTTCAATCGCTAAATAATAATTTACGTGTAATAATGAAAAATTATTGCATGTGTTATTTCACTCGTTGTTATAAAAACGGCTATTAGCCGAGCTAATTAACAACGAAGAAAGTTACCGGCAAAATATATAATCCTGCAAGTTTTACGCGGTTTATTAATTTTCTTTTTACCCTCAAAATGCGCGCGGCCTGTTTGTCCCGCAGGATTTTATGACTCATAAGAAATTTATGTGACCGGGAGTATATAATGGGACGTAGAACATTGTATTATTATATCGAAAGACCGATCGTGCTGTTATGGACGTCTCGCGTGTAATCCTTATTTTATAAATGCAATATCGATAGCCGCCAGCGAGATATTTTCTTTGTCCCGCTTAGAATTAACGTCATTAATAAATTTGCTGCATCGGGAATGATTAACAGCATTTCGCAGCACGAGCTTGCGCGTTATTTCGCGAATAATAATCGCGGGGATGAGTGCCGTACGAGTGCAATGCGAAAAGTACGGCGTAAAATTTGCAATTCTATCAACAATAACAATGCGCCAAATGACTACCTAAATATTATAACCATACTTAATTCCTTTATTATTTTTCAAACAGAGCTATCGCTCTTACGTACAATGTAATCTGTTTAAAATGTGAAATTTCTACACATTCATTTATTAATCGTAAACTTTTGCGTGTTCGAAAGATAAATTACAATATGGCTTGCTATAATACGGCCAAACTATCCTGCATTTTGCTGGCTATACGTATGTCCGATTATCCCAATTGTCGATTATTATTCGGCGCTAATCAAATCAATGTATAATGAATATTCAGAAGCAGTTCCGTGCAAAGATAGAATATTCTAATTAACTCTGAAAACGCGGAAGAACGCTGGGTGTGTATCTGTGTGATAGATGAATTTATCTAAAACAGACGCTTGTAATATTATGTAGCGATTTTTTCTGCAAACGGCATAAAAGGTCAAAATGGTTCCGCCGCGTTTTTCATCCATGTCGATATATATTATGTTAATACGTGCGAAAACGATTTTTTTCCAAGATGATGTAAGCAAAATGTGCGCGCACATTTCTATTAGTTTGCTTAAAATCATTAAAAGACAAATTGCCAAGGATAATGTTCGTTTCTTTCCGGTGAGCGTGATTTATTCGGCAAAGCGAATATAAAGAACTGTTGAAGCGACGATGTGTGTGAAAAACATGGATTCTTTGGTAATTCGAGGAACAAATACACGTGTTTACGCATGCTGTTTAATCATAAAGTATTCATCCATTGCGCATTTACCATTAATCACCGTTAATATATTAACTGTCGAGTTACTTGGAATATTTTATGCAAAATCCAAACGTAACCCGAAAGCACCGCAGCCGTGCGTCGTCTCGATTTTGCTTTGGATTTATTATAACTTCGCGAACAAAGATGTCTGTCCGAACCCTTCCACGGAGTGTGCCTTGGGTCATTCCTGCAAAAATTCAATTCGATCCAGCTCGCGTTCTTTTATTATGTCCAGACGTCGCAAAATACGACTTGAAGAGGACGCAAACTTTTTCTTCTCCGGAGTAATGTACAGTATGCTCGTTCTCTCTCTTTTTTGCTTTCTCTCTCTGACTCTCTTTTCTCTAACGCAAGACCACGAATACTGAGACGACAGAGATCAAATATTAATTCAATGATTCTAACGAGATCTCGATGGTTCTCGAATTTTATAAACGAAACCTCCAGATGTTTCGATACAATTTTGAAAAGATCACTCTTATCTACAATCTGTTTCATATATGTGATTCTGAGATTCAAAAAATCCCAAGTCATCCCAGCATGAAAAAAAAACTTCACATCTTGTGTCCGCGACATCGTATGTATGCTTTTCCTCACTGTCTCTTCTTCTATCTTTTCCCCGATGCGTGTTTACACGAAGGAGAAAGCTGGCCTTGTATATCTCGAAGAAACCTTTAAGTGCCAGACACATGTCTACATGTACTTGTCGCTTTGCGAAGATAAAAATCATATCCAGTGCACCTAATATTTGGTCCGAATGCCTCGTGTAAATTGGTCTATCGCATGGATGTGCGGAGGTTCGAAAGTCATTGCCACTCATTAGTTTATCCCTGATCGGTTTTAATCGAATTCCTCAAACGGCAAAGTATCAGCAACTCTCTTTTATTATTCAGTTGCTTAAAGACTAATAATAACGGTAACGTTAAAAATTACAGTTGTTGAACAAACATGTTGTTTGTAACTTATTTATTCCTCATGTCCTTGTACATATTTATACGTTTGCGGAGCGTAAGAAAAAAAGTCGCCGCACGCTTGCGCGAATAACATTTCTACACCACTCACGTCAGGTTTTGCGGATCCTTTTCTCCGTCACGCATATAAATACTTCGATATCGAATATATTATCATACAAACACATTTGATGAATCGAAAAAGTCCGTATTTTATCCAACCGATAAAATTGTGGCCTTTACTGTGTGAACGACAAACGCACTGCGATAATAAGCGAAACGTGCGCTAAATGAATAGAGAAACAACAAAGGCAGGAGGTAAAGATCTGAAATTGTAAAAATGATGAAAGAAAACACTGGATGCGCAAATGATCGGAAATTCGCAAATGTTTCGCTTCCGTATTGTGTGAAGAATCGGACCGCGCCAGGATGATCAAAAACGCTTTTATTATCCGATCCGATGCCGAAATTCTGTAAACTGAAAAAATTATGAGATTCCTATAAATATTTGACGCGCTAACTGAAAGCGGCCGAAGACCGAATTTCCACGTAAGCTATCATGACACCATATTATTTGTCGGCGATCGTCCATATGCGGACGCATAAGTGAATTGCGCTCCCGTTACGTGTGCGCGCCATATATCCGCTCGAGCGTGGACGTTATCGTCACGATTACGCATATTCAAATAAGCAATCAACACTATTGAGGCGTCGGGGCAAAGGTTGTTATCCAGACTTACTCGAGAGAGAGAGGTATCAAGAACGTACGGAAAAGTCATCGCGTATCGTGCCCCTTAAGAGCTAGAAACGTAAAACTGTAGACTGAGCGAAGAGAAGAGGAAAGAAGATGAATAAATAAAAGAACATTTTTCGCAGAAGCTCTCGAATTCTGAAACTTCGCGAAAGATGCAAGAGAGAATAAGCGAAAAACGGAACTCGGAAAACTTACGTATTTAATCCGATAAATTTCAACTTCGCTCTTATTCTCCTCCTAACGGCTGTGCAATACTTAAACGATTTTTGCAGTTCGCGTTACCTTTATCCCGCACGATGCGCGACATGCTCGTGCAATACGAATTTCCGGAAGCGCATTCCCCATGAACGCTACGGTGACCGTAAAGACATTTAATATCCAGGCCAACATTATCCTAGAAATTACTTGGCGACTGCTTGACGCAAATCAGCCGCGCAATTTCGTCCTCGGTTAAAACTCGCCACTGAATCTCGACAAATGCTAACGCTATGCTAATACCGTTCGTGGTATTGTGAAGAGCTTGTGCTATCAGCCCCACGAATAGCATTAAGCCCGTATCAGATTACGGATTGAGATTGAATTGAAATTTGACCAATCAGCGCAAAATTCACTAAATTTCACTAGACTTGAATTTAGTTAATTTTGTACTGATTAGCCACATTTAATCTCAATCTCAATCCGTACTGGAAATTCGTATTGCACGAGCATGTCGCGCATCGTGCGGGATAAAATAGTGTTTGCGTAATAGTAATGTTGCGTAAAGCGCTAATAGATTGTCTCTCCGAACGCATCCTCTATAGTTAGTGATACTTCTGTTTACCATATTGAAATCCCTACTGTGATTGTCATATGGCTATATATACTCCGAAGTATGCTATCTTTCACTGTACACGGCACACAGAACTTCTTAAACCAGCGGCACAATGCTTGTTTTCATGCTGGATTGCTCACTGGATAGAAATTCTGCGTCCTCATTGGTGTATTACCATCCAATTTTCGAAAGGCACCAATCAGAACGCAGTATTTCTATCCAGCAAGCGATCCAGCACGAAAACAAGCATCGCATGCCGCTGACTTTACTCTGAAATTAAACAGCACCGGATTTTCGCCGGATTCGGATAGTATTATTTTCACGGAATCAATTAGCGCTATTACACTTCTGGACAATTTTGTCCGGACCAATGAAATTCAAGTTTAAAATCTTCGATGTGTTCGTTTAACTTCTGTAAGGTGGCGCATAGTTTCAGTCTGAGCCAGAACGAAGACCATATTGAAAATTCTTTCTCATCGTTTCTCTTCCGTTTGCACGTGGTTGGTATGTACAATTTTGTCTTTATTATGCGATTTTTTCTTATAATACCCCTCTGACTTGAGGTATTTTTTTTGCGATAGTAATGTATTTCCAATAATTTGCTATTGTTATAATATAGAAATTTTTGTGGGTTATTATTTTCCTTTCTCCTTTTTTCATAATCATGAACACGACCAGAAGTCTTATGCAGTTTAGTTTTGTACATAACGTTTATGTGAATAAGAAAATAATTGTAATAATAGTTAGAAATAATAGTGTAATAATTATAATTGTTATAGAAAAACCAAGATGCCGTCGCATTTAAATTGGATGATAATTCGTAACAACAATGCCTTCTTGCTCAAGAAGCGCAACATTAATAAGCCGTTCTCTACGGTTCGTAGTTTCCTATATTTTACAGACCTTGAAATATTATTACATACAGTTGCTTTAATAAATATGCAATAACAAATGAAATTAAAAACATTTAGGAATCTAACAACTTGACAAATCTGAGTAGTTATCGTTATTCTGGGTTGATCCATCGTAAAAGTGTAGGTGTTATTGACACACCTGACAAAAAGGGATTCACTGTTGTATACAAGAAAGCTAAAGCAGTTAATAAACCTGCTAAAGCTACTGTAAAGAGCACAATGAAAGCTGGAGCTCGTCGTTCTCTTCATAAGTTGAAGACTTTGCTTACAGCAAACAAATACCGTGTAGACCTTACTAAGGTATGTGAATCATAGATTGCTGATTAAGATACCTTAAATCAATCTTGATTTAACAGTAAAGCTACAATTTCATGTAGCAAAGAAAAACTAGTATTTTATCCCTGTTCTACTGATTTACCCTAGCAAAGATAAGCTCAAAGTTTAACATTGTCCAACTAACAATGAAGTAATGCAATAATTTAAAAAAAAATTTGGTATATTCTCTTAGTATCAAAAGTATTTCTCTATAAAATTTAAGAACTTAATGTTCTTATTTATTTAAGACTCCTTAATGCCTGCTTCGACTGTCTTTCTTTAATGATGTTAGAAGCCAGGAAAATCATACCAACTTATGTGACAGTACATGTGGAAATAAAAGAATATATGCACAAAATAACACCCATGATTGATTCAATACACTTGTAGAAAAGGTTGGATGCTTTAATCTGAACAATTAATAAATAGCCGTAAAATTTACAGAAATTATGAGAAAAGATAGGTTAAAAATAAATTGCATGTTACACTAATTTACAGCTATTTATTAATTGTTCCAGTTAAAGGAAAGTGTCTGGACATTTTTACGAATGTGCTGAATCGATTACGAGTGTTATTTTGTGCATATATTCTTTTATTTCCACATATGTCGCCATATAAATTGACATGATTTTCCTCGCTTCTGACGTCATTAGAAAAGGACAGCCATAGCGAATATCCAGGAGCTTTAAGTGTTCAATAAGTGGTGTAATATGGTCTGATATTTTTTTTACTTTAATTAACTCAAATATACATAAAAACAACATGCCATAGAGAAAGAGAACACCCAGCTCAACCTAAAGGTTGAGCCCGTATCCCCAATGTGTTAAACAGAAAGCTGGAACTGAAGATAAGCTCCATGAAAAAAGAGGTGAACAGCGACATTGTTTCAATGCTATTTCACACTATAGAATGAGGATAAAGTGTTAGAATTTCTTTATTGCATAAAATTGCCATTTAACGTTACAGCATGGTATATTCCATTGTTTTCCAGGCTGCACTGCGACGAGCTAGCGCTGTGCTACGTTCCCAGAAACCTCTGCCTGCTAAGAAGACACGAACAGCTAAAAAGGCTGACTAATTTGTATACTTTAATAAATATGTTTTGACGTAATTCTTTATGTACGACATGTTCTGTGAGGTAAATGAGTATTAATTCACATTTTTTGAAATTTGTTATTTTAATATATTTTGACATTCTATTGAGGATGAACTATGCTGTGCTCTTTTACTTCACGAATGTGTCTGGAGTTTTATTTTTTTTTATCTATCCATGTATAATAAATTGTATAAATGTGTATTTTTAAGTAATCATTCAGCTAATTTTTTTTGTAATGGGTAAGCAATATACTTCACTTATATATTATGATGTATTTTACATAGTTTGTATACACATATATATGATTTTTTTCAGATTTGCAGTACAAGAATCAATAGCATCTCGTGTAATCATTACTGACCTGCAAGAGGTAATCGTTAGGTAAATTTTACTTGTACCTTCTTGTTTATTATATGACAAAACTATTAGAAATGATGATGATTTTCCACCAAAATCTATGAATGCTATGATTTATACAGTATTTGCTAACTGATCGTCTTTTACGTTAATTTGAAATATAATTAGAAAAATGATTTATAATTAAATAGAAGATTTTACTTTACTCTTTAGATTATCTGTGGTGTTTCTCATCATCTGCAGTGGCTTTCTATTCTCTGTGAAAATCCTAAAATTATAAGAAGGTATGTATATATATTTCCTTTCCTGTAATATTCTTTATTTATACTTTAAAAGATAATATGATATTATAATTACAAAATCTATAAGAATTACGATTTTTAATTTGCAACTATTTTCTAAATAAAACAACATTGCATGTATAAATGATATTGTTTATTTAAAAAAATTGCAGAATTCGCCATTTCTTTTTTAGATCTGTTAAATTCCTCCAACTTCTATTTCGATGACAAAAATGGTTCTACAGGTAATTTTTAATTACTGGACAGATCTTTACTGCGTAATACATTAACATTTGAATATGATGAAACATTTCACCAAGATCTATGAATGCTATGATTTATAAAGTATTTGCTAACTGATCGTCTTTTACGTTAATTTGAAATATAATTAGAAAAATGATTTATAATTAAATAGAAGATTTTACTTTACTCTTTAGATTATCTGTGGTGTTTCTCATCATCTGCAGTGGCTTTCTATTCTCTGTGAAAATCCTAAAATTATAAGAAGGTATGTATATATATTTCCTTTCCTGTAATATTCTTTATTTATACTTTAAAAGATAATATGATATTATAATTACAAAATCTATAAGAATTACGATTTTTAATTTGCAACTATTTTCTAAATAAAACAACATTGCATGTATAAATGATATTGTTTATTTAAAAAAATTGCAGAATTCGCCATTTCTTTTTTAGATCTGTTAAATTCCTCCAACTTCTATTTCGATGACAAAAATGGTTCTACAGGTAATTTTTAATTACTGGACAGATCTTTACTGCGTAATACATTAACATTTGAATATGATGAAACATTCCACCAAGATCTATGAATGCTATGATTTATACGGTATTTGCTAACTGATTATCATTCACATTGACTTAAAATGTAAGCAAAAAAAATAATCTTAATTAAAAAGATTCTATTTTTCTATCTAGATTAGA